TGCATTGAACAGAAAACATCAATAAAGTTTTATTGTTGGAACCTCTTTTATGATAAAAAATTGATCGATGATACGAATTCTGCACTAATTCCGAAGTCGTGCAGTTTCACTATAAGGACCTTCTGATACTCTAACATCCGTCATTACTGTGGGAAAGATTGTCTCAAAACAATGTGATGAATTCAGACAAAATCTCAGTCATTTCATTTCAAATTTCCGTTCACTTTTAGTCSAAACTGCCAGTCCACACAGTTATTTTGCGTCAATGATTGACAATCTTTTTTATAGTATATTAATTTCTTYTTGGCATTTCTTCAGTCTTCTGGCTACTAATTGCAGTCTGTGTGATTAAATTTGCTTTCTATCATAATTCTTATTTTTAAAACTATAGAATTTTTTGATGCGACGTCTTAGTGCAATAAGACGTTTGACTGTTATTTGTTCAGGTTTGTTGTTTTTAAATTAATCTTACCTACACAGTCGAGGTGATGATATATTACTTTAAGAATTACACATCATATATAATTATTTTTTTTCAGCCGGATATGTCAATAGAATTTATTTGATTTCAACCCACATGAGGGATTTTCAATATTYAATGTTTTTATATATCCATACCACATTTTTTAACACATATATTTTACATCTTTTAACCCAATTTGGTTACAATAAAGTTTCAATTCCAATTACACATCACACAATTTTTTAATGCAAACTTTTCAATGTCAGTTTTTACATGTACATTCAAACGATGGGTCTATATGAAAACAATACATGGATGACTCAAAATCAAATATAAACTAAGACAAATGCAATCAAACCTAAAAATTAAAAATTTCAAACTATTTGGTTCACTGCGACGAATACGTAAGAAGTTATGAACGGGGCGTTAGCTCCTGCTTTTTTTAGTTGGCGGTACTCTTATCAACTGCAAAAATGCAACTTTTTGCTAATTATAAATTGCTTTGACAAATTAAGAACCTCAAATAAAGATGTGTGGACAAATTACTTTGATTCTAATAACAAAACAGTTCAAATTCTCGTTAAGCTATTGGACAAAATACGATTGACAGTTAGCCACTTCTGTCGTTTCGCTGCCAATCAGGAAACACCTTTTTCTTGTACAATAGAAAATATATTGTGCGTATTTCTGAGTTTGAGCCACATTTATCAAAATGTTAGCATTATCGATACCAGCTGTCTTGTACTATGTCGTTTTCGTGTTCAACGTAACAGGAAATTGTCTTGTGYTTTAYATCATCTCCAAGAAACAGCGAACTTCCACAGATTTTTTGCTGTTGAACTTGGCTGTKGCAGATCTCATGTTTGGGGTGTTTTTTGTTGTCTTTCATCTCTTGAGCCCCCTTCTGGARGAGGGTCATCCTTTACGTGAGAATCAAGTATTTTGTAAACTCTTCATCAGTGGAAACATTGCTTGGATGGCACTTGGAGCGTCTACGATGACAATGATAATCTTATCAGTCGAGAGRTATTTTGCAGTATGTCACCCGCAYAGTTTTAAAAAATGGTTCTCCTCAAGAAACCTGAAGTATKCCATCCTTGTCAGTTGGATTTCAGCCATTTCTTTCACCTCACCTTTCTTGRGTGRAAAACATTGCCAGCATATTACATACTTCACTTTTAAGGTGCATAGTGTTTGCACAGTTATTTTTTCAGGCATAGTACTGTTAGTCCTTACTGCGTTGTCGGTAAAGATCTACAKCTCACTCTGGTACAAACACACTGCAATTCAACCCTCAGARGTGAGACAGATTGAGGAAAGAAAGAGGAAGAAAAAAATTACGTTGTGTGTCCTGTCCGTCATAGTCACTTTCATTGTGTGCTATATTCCACATAACATCGTTTATCTGGTGATGATTTTCAWCCCCAACTCGAAAGCAGGATACTTTATTGTAATAACTCTCTTTRTYATCTTCGTGAACAGTGCACTCGACCCGTATCTGTTGAGCTTYCAGAACCCCAGAATGAGAAAAGTGGTCAAGAAAATGTTCAGATGTAAAACAAATGGGCAAGAGTCAGAACAAGCTTAAAGATGTATATAGCCTTAATTTCTTGCCATTATTACAAATAACGAGATTGTCCTTAATATCATGCACGTAATTTGGCAAGTTTGACGAAAGATTTTTTTTATTGAGRCTAGTTTGATGAGAGGATTTTTTTATTGCTATCTGAAGAGCAAAAATAAAATTGTGGTTTCATTTTYAATGGGTTGATTCTTTTGACACAAGATTGAATTGTTTGTCAAATTGAAACTCATCGCCGAAGTACGAGATTGTTGACTCTTGCAGTATATTTGGACTGCGATAAAAGTTACCCTGAGATCCATCAATCAAATTCAATATGTTAATATGCCCTATATAATCAAATACATAAAGGATTCTTTAGTTACAGCAATAAAAATGAATAAAAKTCTTGTTTTCATTTGCGTGTTCGGGGGGAAGTTCCAAGCGTTAGCCTATACGTGTTCAGTTCAGTTTTGCACTCAAAAAATCTGTGTTTCTCGCTGTTTTTTGTTTGTTCGTTGTTGTTGTTTGGCRRCAAATTTGATCGGCTTCCCAAGCTCGAATTATTATCAATAGTCCCAGTTATGAATTACACCGTCAGTGAAAACAAAAGCAATGAAAATTCTCTATTTTTTATTATCTTTTGGCCAAATACGTTGGGTAGAGGCCTCGTACATACTTGGCTTTATAATCGAAACTTTCGCAATAGTTATATAGTAGATGAAAAACTGAGGTCTTGTTTTAAAGGTTCCACTTTATGTAAATGTGATTGACGTACAAACCGTCTAAAAAGACTACATAAAATTTGTATTACATTCTTGAATTAAAACACTTTWAAAAAATTTTCGGAAACATTCAAACGTATCCGGATATCTTTCGAAAACGGAGTTGTTCTCTCATCAATCACGTTTTCGAAACTACACTGACTTCCTTCACAGCTGGTCTTTGATAAACAAAATCAAAAACAAGCTGCAAGATTAACCATCCTCATTGCGAAAAAAGACGCTGCTAAAAAGTGTTCTGTAACATTTCTTGTTTTCATTCTAACATTCGTTTTCATTCGCCCGTTTACACAAATATCCGTTTTCAAGAGCGTTTTCATAACTTCCGATTAGTTTGTCGATGGTCACTCGGGAAGGAACCGAATAATGTTAAAGACGAGAAATATCTCAGTTTTCAATTATATCCGGATTCGTGTTGGAGCATGTGCGATTCGTTGTAAAAGAGAAAATCGATAATAAACCAATTTCCTGGTATTAGCTATAGGAATATATTTACATCGATTTTAAATGAATTCTCCACATACARCTGACCAACATTGTAAAATGGTTAAGCATATATACCGCTGCCTAGATGTCAAAATCTGTTGTTGTTCTGCATTTCAATGTAATTCTGAGCGGCAAGTTACATGAAGTTAAAAATACCTTAAGAAGTTCTAGATAAGGATTCTTTAAACTTTYTTCTCATGTTGATAACAAACTTTGAAAAGTTATCTTTCTGGTTTAGTTCTTCCACCATGATGTCCAAATCATCTACAGCTGGCATGCAATCTTTGACTGCAAATAAAGATTTGTGAAGTTTTCCTTTTTGTACTTGAAAGATGGTTTAGAAATTAAAGAAGTCAAAGAAAACATTTAAGACATCTTCTAAAAAGGGTCTACTTTGCAAGTATTTACACTATGATGGCTTATCTACAACAACTACCCTTAAAACAAGTGTTTTTGAATTTTTGAATAATGTCTCCCAAAAGACTTCAGTTTGGAGCATAATTGATGTTGRAWACAGACTATAAAAGTGAAAAAGCTTGTTAGAAATTTCAAGTTTTTCTTTTTTACAGTAAAAAGTTCCATTGATATTCTAGTTTTCACTAAACTTTCATTCATCAAATTGCACTCGTGGTCAGAATTGGAAGAAAAAATAAGAGAAAAGGGAGGTTTAGTACACAGGGAGCCCACAATGTGTGTTCTTAGTTCTCACCTGTATACTGCTTATCATCACCAACAGAGACAGAAAAGAAGAATGGTCTTTCCCAGTCATTTGGGTCAATGTACTTGAATATAAACTGAAGAAATTCCTCTATAAACCAAAAAAAAGATATTACACCCAACTATTTAAATGTGTATAATGTCACCTTTATGAATCTGACAACTTTTTCTTTGTTGCAACTAATACTTTCAATTAATTAACATACAAATAAATACTGATTTATCATATCAAAAGTTTGGTAGTTGTCGCAGTTGTGTCGGCATCTTACTTTCTTTTACTAGGAGGCACTTGTTAAGGTGTGAAATACGCATGGACTCAGCAAAAATAAGTATAAACCAAAAAATAAAAAAAATAAAAAATAAAAATAAAACAAAAGCCTATTTCATATTATATTTTCACTGGAACAATGGTTTCAAAATTTACCACAGGAAACCCAAGCCTTAATAGACATTCATAAGCATTTCCTTTCGAAGGATGGATATGACTTGCATGTGTTATTACTAATGGACAAACATGTAGTAATATAGTACTGCTAGTACAAAGATTGTGATTTGCTGAAATAACATAGCAAGACAGCTAATACAAAAAGCAAAGATGTCCAGTAGAACAATAGACATTACTTAATTAACATAACCTTTCAATGCTATGTATTTGTTGTCTCACTCAATCACAAGTTTTAGTCTGAAGAAAAAATAGTTCCCAACCACAGACATAGATGAAAAACCTACCATCAATCTTTTTAAATGAAAGTCCAAGTCTGTCCTCAAAATACTTGGTGCCCTTGACAAACTGCTCCAGTTTRTAGTTTGTAATTTCTTCTTTTGATTGAATATCTGAAGATTGTAACACAATTTAAGTAAATTTGAAAGAAAGCCATGCCTTTGGCATCAAAGCTAGAGAAAAGGTAAGCAGGCAATGATAGAAACCTTKTTATTATACACAGGTGAGTGCAAGCTTACCAACAATCTCCCTTCAAAAAGGCACTGTAATTACATTTCAAGATATCGTACAGAGAACTGCAAAGAAGACTATCTGGGAGACTTTTTGCAATATTTCTTATATTGTTTCTTCAGGGGATTGTTTCATCAYTTTGGTTTTGATGTTGAAATATATTATCAATAAATTCACCTTTTTCCATTCTTTCTAATTGCTTTCCTTTTTCTTCAATTTTCTTTTCCTCTTGTTCTTTTTTCTCCAACAGGGTTTTTGCACACAACTGGAGTTCTTTTAATTGTTTTTCTAACGAGGACATGTCTTCAGCTTGTTGATGCAGAACTACATTTATGATGAAAAGGAATAAAATAAACTTAACTTAAGTTATTAACTTAATGGTTAGTCGTGCAAATAACCCTATCTTTGATCTCAATTAGCTTACCTTCTAATTTTCGATTTGATTCTTCTTCATAACGCACTATTGCCTCTTCCAACTTAGTTATCATCTCTAAACAAAACAGCACAACGAATAATGTACAGTTTCTCTGATTTGGTATAATCAATATTAAAATATCAACCGACTACAAACAAACCTTTTCCTGACACCATACTTTCTCGATGTTTCGTGGCTTCGGTATCTATTTGTTTGAAAGACTCCTTCCAATCATCAGTAAATTTATCCTGCACCTGTTTCAGGTTCGTTGATAGCTTTTCCAGTTCTTCGTTTGCCATCTTTTCAGGTTATTTTTACGACTAAAAGTCAAAATATTTCGTTCTCCCAACAGTTTTCGTTTTCCGCGCTTTATTAGATAACTAGCCAATCAGCGTCTAGATTAATAAATTATTTCAGCGGTTTCATGTTGTAAGCATGCACTTWAAAATCAACAATATGGCGGACGCGCCGACGTAAATCACGATTTATACTAAAAACATACAAATTTTCCAGCGTATTCATAGGCAAGATTCTAGTTTTACTGCTAAATKTCTTCTTTTACATGCAATTTGATTTGTCTCTTATTCTATGGCTTATTTCTTTAACTGCAGCACATCGCAATGAAGCCACAAGTTCTCTGGTCACCGCACAGTCAAGACAAGTTCATCACGTACAGCACTGATATATGTTTGTACAGGACTGTCACGGGAAAGGTAAAACGCTCACGATGCTCTMTRAACTAACCTGTATTGTATTGAAAAATATATCCCAGAATTTAGTTGGATTTTGCATACGTTTCTCCTTTGCAAGTTCGTTGGTGCCTACTTCCTGTTTTTATGCATGTTTTCAATTTCAATTATGCGCATGACAGACACTCAATCATTCATCAAAAGTGGAGGTAAATTGTGTATGAGAATACAGTGGTCAACAGTTAACCTCGATGCACAAGTCTAGAATAATCTGGAAGCATAGTGCATGCAAKTAGTGATCTACTAGCCTMSCTTGCTGACCATCATGAGAAATTTACTCTGTTTAATATTGTACAGGATGTTGCATCTAAAGCAGATGGAAGCAAGAGTCAAGGTACTGAAGCAAGAGATGGATGTGTTTGTATGAAAATATAGTTATTGACTCTTCTTCCATTGTGCACTTTCAGGTATAGCTTTGTCAGAAGATTGCATTGCCTATCTCTCGTCTGTAATAAATGAAGTACAACTGTTAAAGGTAAGAATTGTGTACAGTTAATTTTTGATAAATGAATAAATAATAAGACATTTTGTCACCCTCATGATATTGTGGTAGTATCAACATGAGATATATATCAATATTTTTTTATGTATAATATATTACTATTATTATTTCAGTGTGTTGCTTGGTACCCACAAAGTGAACCTGATGATCTGCTAGCCATAGGACAATCAAATGGAAAAGTTATTGTTACAAGGTTAAACAACTATTTTAAAGATTATATTATTTAAAATGTGATAATGCAATTAGCACTTTAAATAATTCATATTAATTATGGGAACTGTAGCAGACAAAGAGATTTGTGTCCAGTACATGGATATAGTCTGGATTATTTAACCTGCTTTTTTAAAAATACTCAGTTGATTTTCTTTGAATTTCATTTCTAGTTTTGCCAGTGAGAAAATTCAATCAAACTATGGACTCAGAAGAGAATTTGGTGAGAAATGTGACCTTTTTTCAAGTTCATAAATTGTACTGGTTTCTGTCTATTTATAWGTTATATGTAAAATGTGAGTGAGAGACATTTTTGGGCAATTAAAACTGTGAGCTGCAAACGAGTATTTTATATTGGTAAAATATTATTTCTAAGAGAAATTCAGTATAAACAAGACGTCTTAAGTTAATGAAAGGCTACTTCTTAAATTCTTGGTATCTGATTGGTTAATGATAGAGTTTTATAACTTGTTTTATAACTTGCTTAAGTGGTATGTCCTATTGGAATGTTATTAAGTTTATTAGATTTTATACTAAATGTTTGCATTGTACAATTTTAGTTCCTAGACATCCAAGACCATGTAATAGTCTTGCTTGGAACCCAGTAACAAGTAATCGAGTAAGAAAAGTTTTCTTTATATTATAAGATTATAATGCGAAATAGCAGCGTCATTAGCTAAGGATTGAGTTTTCTGCTGCTACTTCCTTAAATTCCTTTTTTCTTCTTCTTCTTCTTGTTTATTTGTAAGTTTAGTTTGGATTTTCTTTTYTTACTCAGCTTGCAGCTGGACTTGACAAACAAAGAAATGATGTTTCCTTGTTGGTATGGGACATCAACGTACAACTTAGTGAGTAAAAAACATGACATGTAATAAAGATCACAAACAAATATTAATATTATATATAAATGAGTCTTGTTCGTTAACCTTAAAAAAGGCTTTATTTATAGTGCATAATGTAATTGTGTAATGCAACTTTTCAGCTGTAAGAGATATTTCAGGACAAGAAAAACAAAGGTACTATTGATATTATTGTATTGTTTTGTTATCATATGTGATTGTTGACATCATGTAATTTGTAGAATCCTCACTTCTTCTTGTCAGGCCTCAAAAACTGTCTATGAAGGCTCAAGTGTTTTTATATCCACATTCTGTTATCTCAGAAGTGTCAACAAGTCAAATCTGTTTATCTTGTTGTTTTTCTTTTTGATTAAAAAAGCCGACATCCAACAGCCATAAGTGGAAAGCAGTCACCTATTATGGGATATGGAGTTCCAGATTCCTCACTTTCAGGACATCGACCTTTAGTTGAACTTTGTAAGTATATGATCATAATAGTCTAAGATTTTATTCTACCCTCCTGAGATCCTTTGTCTATGGTAGAGAATCAGAATATAAGAATTTGTATTCGGCTTAATAACATTATTTATTTGCAGCAACTTCAGAGCCAACAATATCACTATCTTGGTTTCCTCATGAGCCTAATACTTTGATTGCTGGTCAGGGACCCAAGTTCCTGAGAGTCTATGATATCCGAGGTAGGTCTTTTAGAGCTGAATATGTAAAGAGCATAGCACAAATCTTAGACAGGATCCTGTAGGATATTAATTAGGATCTTATCTAGGATCCTGACAGGATCTTGAATAGGATCTTACACAGGATCATGTAGGATCTTGAATAGGATCTTACAGGATCCTGTCTACGATTTGAGTAAAAACCAATGCAAGGATGTTTTGAATCATTTTATCAAACGATAAATAATCATTGTATTTTCTCTTGAAAATGACATCAGATAGCATTGAAACATTAATAAAATAATGCAAAACTTCCTTGCTTAGTTTTTACTCTTCAAATTAMAAATAAAGCCACGTTAAGCATAGCATATTGATTCTTTTTTTTTTTTTTGAATATCCAAAATGTTTTTATAGAAGTCATTCTCACTGGCATTTCCTCCTGCCATAATTTTGTTTGTCATTAAGCAAAATTTGACTTGACAAGCTATAACATCTTACAGACTTCAATGGAAGTCTGTAAGACCCTTTAGTGGGTACAATGTTAGGACAACTTCAGAATATTTAAGGAGAAATTTTGAACTTAATCTATTAATTGTGTGGTCATTTTTAGTGTCAGTCAAGGAAAATATTATAAAACATGTATTTTGATTGATTGGTGCTTCAGATACTAGTCAGGCTCATAGTGCTGCTGTAACTAAGGCTGTCTGTGGAGTAGCRGTTGATCCTCATGTTGAAAATAGAGTGGCCTCATTCTCAGAGGTATTTACAGGCTGTTTTTAATGTATTTTCAGCACTATATTTTTATTCATTGACCATTATTGTCATTGTTACAGTGTACACAAGGAGTAAGTGTTGTCTGCATTTGGGATATCAGAAACTTTGAAAAGCCAATATCCTTTGAATATGTATAATATTTGTATATCTTTAAAATTATCGAAAATGTTTTCAAAAAAGTGCTCAACTTTGTCAAGGAGATGTCTGTCAAGGAGCATTGTATAAAATAAAATTGTACTTAAAGACTAGAGTGATTGTTTTATTGCTACAAGCTGGTTTCGTATGGTCATCAGAGATGGCCACACTCGTCAGGCAAGTTACAATATTTGTATAACTGTATGTATGGGGGTTTGGGGGTGGTAAGTTTGGATTTGGAGGGAGAGGGGCTGTTTATTATCCTTAACTTTGTCCCAAATGATGACCTTACCCCATCAAAATTCTATCAATAACATAGCATGGAGTCCAACACGRTTTGGTTTATTGTCAACATTGACTAAAGATAGTTCTGTTGTTCAGCTCTATGATATTCAGCATGCACAATGGGGTAAGAATTGTGGGAAAGAGATTGTTATAATCATGATAGTAATAATACATAATAATAACTATATGAACAATTATAATATTTATGTCATGGCACCTTTGAAATGAAGCATGACATTGGAATGCCTATTTTTGAAGAAAATAAGATATAATATGGCTGTATGCGAAAAAGGGGAACAATTGAATGAAAATCTCATTACCAAGGTTACCTTTTCAGTTCTTCTGACCTTTCCAAGTCAATTTGTGGCCTGAATACAAGGCTACTTCTAAGTCACCATACTCACAAATTTGATTGTATGTAGGGTCTTCTGGGTACGATAGCTATGAACTAGATGCAGCTGTTATTGAAAGAACAGCAAAAGGTTATATTGAAAATTTCTAACACTTTATAAATCATATACCATAATRGGTACCATTCTTTACCAATCTACTGAATAAAATCTGTATTTTATTACTGGAAAACATTATTTGAGTCTGTACCCTWTTACATTGATAAATATAGGATGTGAATGGTCTGTTCTTGTATCAGAGCTGTGTAAACTTTATGTTGTTATAATTTTGAAACGTTTGTTCAGAAGCATAATGATTCAAAATTCAATAAAATTTTGATTCCAGTTTTGATACTTTATATATATTTGTCATTAGCTTCTTTGTCAGAGGTTTCATCATTTTGTTGGCATCCCTCACAAGAGAATAGAATGTTAACTATTTCACCAACAGGTTAGTAAACTACATGTGTATAATAATGTATAATAAGTGGTTGGTAAGGTGTCAGTAAGTGGTTGGTAAGGTGGCAGTAAGTGGTTGGTAAGGTGTCAGTAAGTGATGATAAGGTGTCAGTAAGTGGTTGGTAAGGTGTCAGTAAGTGGTTGGTAAGGTG